TATGATGCAAACTACATTCATAAGCTTTGGAAGCCTGCGGTGCATTCCAAAAGAGGTGTTATTGCATTACTAGTAGGTAGTAACACAGCACTCTCCAGATGGCTGATTCAGTAAAAGTCTCTCAAAGCAAGGCGTATTTTCTTCATGTAAAAATCAAACCTCAGTTAAGCTGAAATATAATGTCATGGTACACAAGATAAAGCTGTGTTTTTTTTCGCATGACACTGAATCAAATCATAGCTGCTGTGAAGCACCATGCTCCACGTGAAAGTGTTAGCAATCAGTGAGCATGGGAATCAAATTAAAAACGCCCAGCAGAGCATGAAGGCATAATGCAAAAACAAGCATACAAAAACCCCAACAGATTGCTCTCTGGAGGGAAAGATGCCACAAGTGTAATAATATCTCACACCAAATCATGGCACCACGTGTTCTTTTTAACAAAATAAAGCACCATGTCTATAGCACGCAAAGGAATGGAAAGGCAAAAAAATGCACCATGGTCATGCAGACAGAAGAGAAAGCTCTCCTGAGTATGCACCAGCTTTTGCTAAGTTTAATGGAATTAGAAACTGTCAGAATTTCATGGAATCATAGAATTATTAAGGTTGGAAAAGACCTCTAAGATCACCTAGTCCAACTATCTGCCTAACAATGATATTGCCCACTAAACCATGTCCCTGAAGGAGCATCCTACCACTAGCTTTGTGGTACCTAATCCTACCACTATTATTTGTGCCAACTGTTTTTAAGGGGGGCATCTACAGTATATGTCCATGTAGAACTGCATGAGAAAGACTTTGCACCTCCACCACTTTGCACTGCTGTGCTGACACACAGCGATGGCTGGGCCTGCACAGCCACATGTGCTTCCAAGGTGGCTCCTTGCCTACATCCCTATTGCTCTCTTACTGGCAGAAGTTAGATAAAAACTATCTGTCTTGTCTCTAGCCACGCTGAAGCAGTAGGTCCTTGGAGACTTGACTTGGCTTGAGTGAATCAGAAAGCAACTGCACATCTGCGGGGGAGTAGTGACTATCTGCAAATAACAAGTCTGTTGAGCTGCAAATGTCAGATGAGTTCAGTTCTAGGCTGAAAAAGAAACATTACTTTTGTTTCTGAGACTGTGACCTTTCTTCCCTCTCCTTCACAAGGTCACTAAGTGTTAACTGTACCCAAACCCACATCAGAGACAAATCAAAGCCGTTAACTTCATAGCAACAGGTTTTATGCTGTGTCTGTTACTATCTGTTCTCCCCAGAAAGGAAAAACATACAGAACTCTTGAAAAATATCCTCTAAGCAATGGATTACATAACGTGCACCTGAGGTCAGCCCTGGCTCTGCATGGCCGTAAGAGCTTGGATGTGTGAAGCATATATGTGAAAACTGCCACAAGGTAGCATCCTGTCCCGGCTAGAAAACTCTTCTGATTACACCGAGTTACATTCCTGACAAGTTCTTACTGCATGAAATCTGGAGCTTGGGGACAACATGTGTTCGGTTAGCCAGAAGAGGGAGCCTGTGTAACTGGGAAACGGGACAAGGAGTAATTTGAGGTCAAATTCCTTCCTGTGGTCAAAACCGCCTCTGGCTGTTATTCAAAGCTACAGAGCATACCAATGGCCGAGGTGGATGAGTATGGGAACTCAGCAAGATCAGTGAAAATAAAATGTGCATCTTTTGTTAATGCCAAAGAAAGTAAGTCTACTGAGATGTGATAAACTGTTGCTTTAATTCTGTCTTTTCACATCAGCCAGTATTTTTGGGAAGCCAAGAAGAAACAATATCTGTTAATATGAACACCTAAGTGTGCAAGTAATGACCATGCAAGTCACATGCAGGACCCCCAAAGCCTGCTCCTGTGTGGTCAGTAATGCTTCCTAGAATTGAGCCAAACACATGACAAGAACCATTAAATATTCCCTGCCTGCTTCTCGCAGCAGCAATCCCCAGACTTCACTGCACACAGGCAGTAAAACAACATGCACTACTTGGGAACTGCTTTTAGAGGGAACTGCAATGCAGCACCTGGACTTTTGGTTGGTTTTGAAGATGCAAACTGATGTGATAAAATCTGATTGCATATGAGGTGCTTATGAAACTCTGCAACAGACAGCAGCAGTCCTTCCAGGAGCCTCATTGATGCTGGGTTTGGGGCCATGTTTTGAACAGAAAAGACAAGAGATTTCAGTATAAAAAAAAGTAAAACCATGAGAAAACACAAGAATTTACCAGAAGCAGAGCTTTTAAAAAATTACACATTAGTGACAGATTAAAAAAGGCTCCAACACACTATGAACAAACTGATGAGGAAAACATAAGATTTCTAAGCAAAGCAGTGGGGTTCCCACAATAGTAGCGGCAACAAAAGGCCTCGCTGAGTGCAGGACACAGCTTGATCAGCTCTCAGGAATGCCTGAGTTTCAGTTCCACGCTCCTACTCCCTTTCTTTGATGAAGTACACCAAAGATCCCATGCAATGGAAGATCCAAGGCCTACGTTAATGATGAAAGAGCACAGGATGAAAGATGGAGGGCTCTCTGATGTGTCCTAAAGGCACCGGCTTTATTATCAGAAAGCGCCAGCAATAAGAGCAGTTAGTTACATTACAACCTACATCTATCTCAGTAGGACCAGAAATGGGGAATCTAAGGTCAGATTCCCAAAGGCTCCTGGGTTTTACTTCTCTGTCCAGTAAACTCCTGAGCATTGCAAGTGCATGTTAATATTTTTCCTTTTTTGGTGCGCTCTTAGGTAGATTTCACAGTTTCTTTATTAAAAGTAAAATAATATTTAAAAAAATCCCACAACAGACAAGTTGTTTGTGCTATTAAGCAGTACTGGATCAAACACAGCACAAAAGATTACGCCTTGGAAAAACACTCCTGTTAGAAAACTTTTCATCACAAGTTTGCGATTTTAAAAGTGTACTTGGGGAAAAAAGTAAACAAATGATTCCTAGCAATCATGTTGTGAACAAAAACACTTTAACAAAGATTTCTGAGTTAAAGCTGAGTCCATATTTCTTTAATAAATTAATGTGCACTTTTAGAAACCTGTATGTGATGTTGCAAAAGCTTCAGGAGCTTTTTAAATAGAGAAGCTCCTTCATCTACACTGCAAGCACTCGGGTGTTTAATATGTAGTACATGTTAAATCTGTGCACTCTGGCCATAATTTTCCACCTGCTCATTTCCCTTAAAATGCTGCAAACCAGCTTATTTGAGCAGTCCAAGAGAAGACAAAATCCAAACAAAGTATAAACAGCTTGGATTTCATTGGCTCAACGTTATGAAAATGATAGAATCATAGAATCACAGAATGGCTTGGTTTGAAAAGGACCACAATGATCATTGAGTTTCAACCCACCTGCTACATGCAGGGTTGCCAACCACCAGACCAGGCTGCCCAGAGCCACATCCAGCCTGGCCTTGAATGCCTCCAGGGATGGGCACCCACAACCTCCTTGGGCAACCCTTCTAGTGTGTCACCACCCTCTGTGTGAAAAACTTCCTCCTAATAACCAACCTAAACCTCCCCTGTGTCTCAGTTTAAAACCATTCCCCCTTGTCCTATCACTAGCCACCCTCGTAAACAGCTGTTCCCCCTCCTGTTTACATGCTCCCTTCAAGTACTGGAAGGCCACAATGACGTCTCCCCAGAGCCTTCTCTTCTCCAAGCTGAACAAGCTCAGTTCCCTCAACCTTTCTTCATAGGAGGGGTGCTCCAGCCCTCTGACCATCTTAGTGGCCCTCCTCTGGACCCACTCCATGAGCTCCACATCCTTCCTGTACTGGGGGCCCCAGGCCTGGATGCAGTACTCCAGATGGGGCCTCACAAGAGCCAAGTAGGGGCGGACAATCACCTCTCTCTCCCTGCTGGCCACCCCTTTTTTAATGCAGCCCAGAACACAGTTAGCCTGCCGGGCTGCAAACACACACTGAGGTTGAGAGGTTGCAATTGTCTTTTTGCAGATGAAGAGCAGGATGTTTATGTCAGAAGGCTCACAGTGGTGGAAATGCCCACTGGAGCTTACTGAAGACACACGACAGGGTGGCTGGTGCCACAGGGATGTGGTTTAGTGGGTTCAGTGGTGATGGTTGGAGTGCATCCTCTGCCAACCATCCCAAAATGCTCAGTGTCCCCGTTACCTGCAGGGAACACATGGCTCTCCTTACTCTGTACTCTGCCTTTGCTTGTGGGGCCAGAAAGCAGAAAATTAGCTCTCAGCTCTAATTTCTGATGGGGATCCACAGTCTGACAGCACCCAGTGCTCCAATGGGCTGAGCAGGGCCCTGGCTGTGGGTTGTGCCAGGGGCTGCCATGCCAGCACTGCTCACCATCCCATCACGAATGATGAAGTCTTTCCCACAAGCTGAAAACAGCTGTTCCAAATAACTCCACTGCATTTCCCAACATCTCTGTCATTCTATAAATCCTTACCAAAACACCTCCTTTTCCTGTTTAGTTTTGGTTACGAGAATGCAGAGTTAAACACTTCAGGATTTTTGGCAAGACAGGATTTAGTGAATTACCTCTCCTTACACCACGCTGCGAGGATTCAGTTCTGGCTTAGCTGCCTGTCCAGAAGTTGCAATAGATACTTACAGGTGGCTCTTGACCAAAAGTTACTGATGTTCACATTCCTTCCATGCACAGATTCCTTAAAAACCCCACTTGGGCACAGACAATTGGAACCACAGAACCACGGAATCAGAAGGGACCCACAGGGATTACTGAGTCCAACTCCAGGCTTCACACAAGACCACCCAAAACCCAAACCTCGTGTCTGAGAGCACTGCCCAAACTCTCCTTGAACTCCAGGAGCCCTAGGAGCGCATCCCATGGTGCAGGACCTCTCCCAGTGCCCAACCTGGCATCCCCGTGATGCAGCGGGTTTTCAGGACCGCGCTGTCTCACAGCCCCCAGCCAGAAGCAAGCAGCACAGGTGAGGCTGAGCTGCCCTCAACTCCGGCACAATGCGAAGCCAATACTCACCCCAGCTCCACGCGCCCCTCGGCGAGGTAACTGTAGCATCTCCCCAGGACGATCTCCCGCAGGTTCCTGGTCGTCCCCCTGCCCTGCCACCTCAGCGGCTCCGGGCTCGCCTCCTCTTTGCGCCCCGTAAGGGCTGAGGCCAGCACGGCGGCCAGAACGAGGGCGATCAGCAGGATGGCGATGCCGGCCAGCAGCACGCAGCGCTGCCGCCTCCGCGCCGAGCCGCGCTGTGAGGAGGGCATGGCGAGAGGGGCGGCGGGGGGACGGCGGGCACCGAGCTGCGGCCCGGCGCCTCCCCTTCTGGCGGCCGGGCTCCGGAGCGCCCAGACGGCCCACCGCCCCCGGGCGGCCCCGCAGCGTTTCTTAGAGAGAAGCCGCTGTTCTGGCTGCTGCGACTTCTGCTTGTGGTTTTGTCTCTCCTGGTCGTAGTGCTGAACTTTTGCCTCTCGGGAGCGAAGTCCGAAAGTCAGTCAAAAGCGAAACTCCTCGAAGTTTTGTTTTAAATAAAGATTCCCATTGCGGCCACCCGTGAGTGAGTGAAACCCGAGTTAGGACGACCACAATCCGGTTTCCCGACGTTAATTTCCTAAATGGCAGCCACTGAATCCCACTTTATCAGTTAATCGTTAACTTTACAGCAGTCATAAAAATATAACTTGGGTCATCAACAACAGCAGGCTTGGTTTGTCATCCCTTGAGAAATTAAGAAAGAAGGAAATATTCTCGCCCCTGCAGATGGCTTTGGTCTGGCTGTCATGGGAATTTCCCAGAAAAACAGCTGTGCACACTGAGGGTTCTGAGGCAGTGTGAAATAACCCAAGGTACGGCTCTGCAGGAGGGAAGTTCCTGCTCTACATGGAACAATTCTGCTGCCTTAAGTCAGAAACCAATGTAAAAAAATAGACTGAAATAAACTAAAAATAGAGAAAGACAAGGTAAAAATAGACAAAACTTCTGTATGTCCCTATAATATTAACTATAAATTGTTAGTGATCACAAAGCATCTGTCTTTAATGGGTTCTGTGTGAGAAAGGGCATTTGTAACACAGCTCCTGTAGTTCTGAAGACCTGAGAAATGCTCTGACAGAGCCTTCAGTGGAAAGCAGTATGTAAGCATATAAACTTATCTTTGTTTTGAGATCTTGTTTTCAGAGTTACCAACTTGGAGGAGTTCTTTTCAGAACTGAAGTTTCACTTCTGAAGCAGCGTATCTCTTCCTAACCTCAGCAGGTAGATCAGGTGAGACAGCCAAGAAAATGCTGCCATGCACCTTCCTTCTGCTGAAAAAATGAAGCTGTCTGGCTTACCATCACAGAAAGAAGTTAAATAGCTATTGCTAATGTTTGTTTTCACAGAATCACAGAACCGAAGGGGTTGGAAGGGACCTTTGGAGATCAATTCCTCTACTGAAACAGGTTCCCTACAGTAGGTTGCAAAAATGTTGGTAACTTGATAAAAATACATGAAAGATTTTCTATTTATAAATAGGAAAATTGAATTAAACTCTCTACAGAATAATAGCTAAGGTTGCCTGGATGTGATCTATGGATGGACCTTCAGTAGAAGTTCTGGGATGATGGCAGGGGTTTCTTCCCGTTTACCAATGAGCTCACAAAGGAAGTTTTTTCTCCAAATCTTTTCAATAAGCTTGTGGTTTTTGCTTTGGCAGCCCCAGGTTACTGATCTTTCCTTGTTCCTTGTTTATATTGTTGATAATACAGGTATTTGCATCTGAACTTTATGATTGTTTAATAAATTATACACATGAGGTTATCCACTGATGATAATTTTCTGATTCTGGAATTGAACAGACAGACCAGAGGTGAAGCGTTGCTGGACCTGCTGCTTGCCATTGCAGAGCAGATCATTAAAGGCACTAAGGTTGGAGGCTGTCTGGGCTCAACTGTCCTAGTCGAGTCTGTGACCTCAAGAACTCTGCGCCTGGCAAAGAGTGGGGTGTGGACCCTGAACTTCAGGAGAGTGAATTTCAGGCTGTGCAAGGAATTGTTGGCCAAGATCTCCTGGGATGCTGTCTTTAAAGTCAAAGTGTTGAGGAAAGCTGGCTACTCTTCAAGGATGCCTTTCTGAGAGCACAAGTGCTCTCTGTCCCTCTGAAAAAGAAAGCGGGCAGAGGGGGCAGGAAACAGGCATGGCTCAGCAAGGTCCTGCTGGGCACGCAAACTGAGGGGCAAAGAAAGCTATATACAAGCTCTGGAAACAAGGACGTGTCACCTGGGAAGAATACAAGAATGCAGTCTGGAGTTGGCAGACATGGGATCAGGAAAGCCAAGACAGGCAGAACTGAACTTGGCGAGGAATGTGAAAAACAGTATGAAGACATTCTACAGGTTCATTGGCCAGAAGAGACAGACCAAAGCAAGTGTACCTCCTTTGGTAAATGTAAAAGGAGAACTGGCTGAGTGGTGTGGTTGACACGGTAGAAGGAAGGGATGCCATTCAGAGGGACCTCAACAGACTGGAAAGGTGGGCTCGGGAGAATCTAATGAACTTCAACACAGCAAAGTGCAAGGTTTTGCACTTGGGCTGGAGGAATCCCAGGCATATATATAGACCAGAAGGTGCAGTCCTAGAGAGCAGCCCTTCAGAGAAGGACTTGGGAGGCCTGGTGAATGAAAAACTGAACATGAACCAGCAGTGTGCCCTTGCAGCTCAGAAGACAAATGGTATCCTGGGCTCCATCAAAAGAGGGGTGGCCAGCAGGGACAGAGAGGTGATTGTCCTCCTCTACTCTGCCCTTGTGAGGCCCCATCTGGAGTACTGTGTCCACACCTGGAGCCCCCAGTACAAGAAAGACAGGGAGCTGTTGGAGAGGGTCCAGAGGAGGGCCACAAAGATGATCAGGGGACTGGAGCACCTCCCCTATGAGGACAGGCTGAGAGAGCTGGGCTTGTTCAGCCTGGAGAAAAGAAGGCTGCGGGGTGACCTCATTGCAGTACCTAAAGGGAGCCTATAAACAGGAAGGGAGTCAACTCTTTGAGAGGGTAGATAGCAAGACAAGGGGAAATGGTTTTAAGTTGAGGGAGGGAAGATTTAGGTTGGATATTAGGGGGAAATTCTTTACTGTGAGAGTGGAGAGGTGCTGGAACAGGCTGCCCAGAGAGGTTGTGGATGCCCTGTCCCTGGAGGTGTTCAAGGCCAGATTGGATGGGACCCTGGGCAGCCTGGTCTAGTACAAAATGGGGAGGTTAGCGGCCCTGCATGGGGCAGGGGCGTTGGAGCTTCATGATCCTTGAGGTCCCTTCCAACCCTGACCATTCTGTGATTCAATGAGTTTTGTTTTCCCCAAAATGTTTCTTGCATGTGTTTTCAAATTGCTGCAGTTCAGTTTTATTAACTAAGGAAATGTCACTTTGGAAAAACAGAAGTTGTTATTCTAAACAATTTACACAATAAAACTGCATTCTCTGCTTGTTCTAGGGATTGAAGATGCCTATCTTCAGAAAGTCTGAAATCAGTTACTTTTTGAGTGGCACAATTGGAATAGTTAAAGTTTAAAACTTTTAAAGAGAGTTGTTTATCAATAACTTGTTATGGGAAAACTTTTCCTTCTTTTCTGATTTGTTTTCAATTTGTTAAGAATAAATAAATTAGGTGAGTGCAGGCTGAGTTGCTCTGAAAGCTGACTTTGCTGTTGGTTTGTAACTCCTCAAGCTGCATAAGGAATGGAGCAGATAAGTAAATGCCAAGCCTCCTTTCAGCAAGCCTCTGCTGCCTGATCAGCCTCAGTTATAGCACCGAGCAGAGATGAGGGGGTGGCAGGAAGGCCAGCGCTTCAGAAAATGGTTCTTTCTTTCTCAGTGTGAATGTGAGCATGAACTCACTCCTTGGAAATGTTCTGGCACAAGAGGGTTTCCAGGGTAGGCATAAGTAATACAATAACTGTCACTGCAGTGAAGTGCTTGTGTATCCGCATGCTTCTCAGACTGATGTGCTAGTGGCTACACGTGCCTTCTATCAGGAAAGTGATATTTTTTAAGCAGTCATGTCTGATAAAACTCCAGGATTTAGACCCCTTGGATCTATGTGAATTTCCAAGACAAGACTAAATTAATACTGTTCTGGGCAAGATGTGTCTGCTCTTCTGCTTGTTTACACTGAATCCCTGGGAGGATCAGAAAGTGGGCATAAAAGATCAGAAGACAGACATGCTTTAAGCACGTAAGTGCCAGTCTCTGCTTTGATACCATGTATTGCAGCAGGAGGCTTCTGTAAGAATGCAACTATATGATGCATAATTCACTAGTCTGCATTAGTACTGCTAAGCATATCATAAGAAAAAAGCAGCTGGTTTCCACTGCTCCTGATGGATCACATTTTTGACCCAGCAAGGCACAAACCACCCCCAGCCATTCCCAGCAACCCATTCAAGAGTTTCACTTATTATTTAGCATCTTACTTCAAGCACGGATAGTCCTGGCACCAAAATATGGCTGAGGATACAAATCCTTCATGAAAGAAATATCTGGCAGCAGGTAGGACCAAATAACACTAACCTGCAAATATGAATAAGAAAAAAGTATGTTGTGTATCTTTTCAGTGCCCTGGGTTAAAACTCTAGAAAATGTTTTTTCTTCAGTTTCTTCAGTGAGTAAAAAGTTTGATAGAATTTGACTGCACCCTGGCTGTTCTTCACAATATTCTGTTTCTCATGTGAGTGTGCTCTGGTAGAAATAACATCACTGCCTTTAATGGAATTAAACTTAGTTACATTAGCACTGAAGTTCTCTGGATGGTAGGAAATAGGCTGCTTCAAAGGCTACAAAGTCAGGTTAGGAATCATGAAGGATCATTTCAACATAATGGTCTGGATTATGATGACAGCACAGTAGGCACAGTGCCACTAATGACTGTGGACGCCTGTAAATGCTAGCTGTCAGTGCTCAGCAGAACATCAGAATAAGGGAATTTGAACTGAAAAGAGCAAAGGCTTTTAAAATAATTAAAGAAATTATTCCTTTCCTTTTGTTGAAATAGAAATGACTGTTCTTTTCATAGCTTCCTGGTTTTACAGGGTAACTGTTGTCATAACATTTAGAGAAGGCTGAGATGAACAGTGAAAATGAGAAATGGGCTGAGGTAAGTAGAACAGCGAGTGCAAAGTGACAGCTGTGAAGAGCAGCACGCCGTCCAGCCCTGCACCCACTACTGTGAACAAAGCATCGGCAACAAGGTGTCTCAGCACCCAGACATCTCTGCCATGCCTTCTGACAGAGCCATGCCTCTACCAGGAGCATGGGCTGACTTACCTTCTCACTTGCTGGGTGAGACAGTTTGAACACCAGCACTCCCTTGTCCCAAATCTCTTTTTCTCAGCTGGTTGCCATTACCCAGCTGTCTTGTTCAGTTGTTATCATCTTGCTTGGATTGTTGTTGCTTGATACAAATTTCTACTCTGACTGCATTTGCTTCCAATGGAAATTCTTTAGGATTACTTCTGAAGAAAAAATACATTTCTACATGTTGAAGTCGGAGTATCAGACTGTAGTGAGGGTTTACCTCCTCTGAACAGCATAGCTCATCATTCACCCTACCTACACAGTAAGAAAAAAAACAAATATAACCAAAATGAAATGAATGTGTGTGAATTAAGTAACAAGAGCAGAACTTCTGCAACTCACATTAGACTTTGGACAATATTGGTCAATAAATTCACAAGTCTTTGGAAGGGAAAGGACTGACAGAGGAATGGAAAAGCAAATCAAGCAATTGCATGCCTC